GGAGGGAGAGAGAGAGAGAGTTGAGTGGGTTTACTTGGTCTTGGTTTAGAGTTGACAGATAGATATCGACAGATCAGGTACCTAGACTGACCAACCTAGTATCCATGGCATATATATGCATATATATGCATATATATATATATATATATATATATATATGTATGTATGTATGTATATAAATATATCCCTCGCTCGTGATGCGGCCAATGGAAAGAGAGATGCCCTGGTCTCACATACCCGATCTTGGACGCGAAGCTTGTGTTGCCTCGTGGTGTGTGGCTCCCGTGGTGAAGCTTCTCTCTCTTGGTCTTACTTGGCTGAGGGACTGGGGTTTGGCTTGTTTGAATCATTGCGGACCCGCATCCGGCCCCGTTGCGATTCAAGATTCAAATTTCCCAGCCCGAGCGACCGCGTCCCCTCACTTGCACTTTAGCGCAGGGTCGTCACATGGCGAGATGGGATGGGATGGGATGGGATGGGATGTGATGGGATCGGATCGGATCGGATCGGATCGCATCTCTCACCGGAGCGTCGGAAGTACGAGGAAAGTAGTAGTAGTAGTAGTAGTAGTAGTAGTAGTAGTAGTAGTAGTAGTAGTAGTAGTTGAGTAGTAGTAGTTGAGTAGTTGTAAGTAAAGTAGGTAAGTACAGTTAGTAGTAGTACTACCTACATGTAGTATGTGCCGTATGGCCTTGGTCTTCTGCCAAGCGGGCGCTATCCGCCTTAGCGTCGGATCATCGTTGTAGTGTGCTCCATAGAAGTTAGTAGCAGCTGGGCCCCGCTGACCGACTAGACGAGATAAGACTAGACTAGACGACTGGGTGAGACTAGGTGAGACTTGACTTGACTTGACTTGACTTGACTAGACTAGACTAGACTAGACTAGACTAGACTAGACTAAACTAGACTAGATTCGACCTTCTCCCGCCGGTCTGGGATTTCCAAGTTCCAACAACAAGCATCTCATCTCCCTCTGGCCTGCATGCATGCTTGTCCAATGGTCGTCCCAGCTACGGAGTATTGCTATTATCTCTCCAGCTTCCAACCCACTCCACTCTAAAACCCCTCCCCTCCAATCCCATCACATCCCATCCCATCCCATCCCATCTCATCCCATCCCATCCTAACCCAACCCAACCCCAACCCCAACCCCAACCCCAAACTCAATCCCCCCTCCCCCCCCCCAATCCCAGAATGCCAAATGCACACGGGACCCACAGACCACGGCTGCTCGCCGCCAATACGTGGTAGCGACATAAATCAACAGCGCCTCCTCGGCCGCCATCCAGGTGATCGCCCGCTCCACATTCTTCAACCCAGGGCGGACCTCGACGCCGACGACAAAGACGTGACCAGACGAGACAAGACGAAACGAGACGAGACGAGACGAGACGGGATCACTAGACGATCAGCGATCAACATTAAGATCAATATCAACAACAACAACAAAAACAGCAACTGCAACAGCAACACCAAACATCAACACCAAACATCAACATCAACAACATTACCACCACATTACCACCACATTACCACCACCAACCGCCACCATCCACCTCGACATCCATTTACATGCTGCACGAGTACGCAGTGGCTGGCTCAGGTGTCAGAAAGCCGACCTCAGACTTGCTGCTCCATCTGCTGGCGAATCCCATCTTACGCGACGAGTCCTTCCCCGAAGTCTTCGGCTCGCCCAAGCAGTCGCCGTGGTCGTCGCCATCGTCTTCCATGATGGAAACTCAGAGCTTCACCGCGCGCCGGCCCGCGACCAGCAGCCTCCCAGCCTTCAACCTCCCCCCGCCCACAGACCATTTCTCTCCCCCACGGTATCCTTCCTATGCGCCGGCCTCGTCGAGCCAGCCCGCTCCAGCAATCGTCAGCAGCGTGCTGACCCCTCCGGCGGGCCTCGCGAGTGACCTCAGCCCGCTGGCATCAAGCGTGAGTGGGAGCTCCGGGAGCTCATCCCAAGGCGTGCCTCCATACCAGCCATCGATGGGATTCTGGCCAACTCCCCAGCAGCCATCGTACGCCTTCAGCCAAGCCCCGTCGATGCCAGCACCATTTGCCCAAGGTCAACACCAGCATCAGCAATACCCGCTCATGAGACCCAGTCCCTTGTATTCGCCGCCTTTGAACTACCCAGGCCGGAGTACCCACTCGCCGAGCGCCGGCGAAGGACCTTCTCCACCATACGACTTGAATCTTCCCCCGTTTCCCACTCCCATGTCTGGTGGTGGCCAATCACAGAACCAGAGCTTGCCGACTCTGGCGCCTCAGCATCAGCAGCAGCAGCAGCAGCAGCACCACCACCACCACCACCATCGGCAACAGCATCACCAAGGTCAGCAGAATCCACAGCAAGAGCAGAGTCAACACCAGCAGATGAGTCATCCTGGACTACCAGCAGTGTCGCACCTACCTTCTCAGCAAAGTCCTCTTCATGCGCCCGATACCTATGGCGGCCGGCCCCCTCCGACTCCCACCTACTACACCCCTTCCTCCACTCCGCAGCAATCCTCCTTCCCAACCTACGTACACCAGTCTCCCACCCAGCAATCCCCCATCACATCTTCCATGCCCTCACATCGCATGTCCCCCGTCTCGGCCCAGAACCACTCCGCGATGGTCGCCCCTCCAGGCTACCCTCAGCCGTATAACCGGTATCCGCTGCCCGCCATGAACGGTCCCATCATGTCGAACCTGCACAACCCGGGCAACCAGATGGCCCTCGTGGGCGGCATGAACATGCAAGGCTACCCGCACCACCACCAACAGATGTACGGGCAACACCCGCACGGGCAGCTACCCGTCACTGACCGCCCGTTCAAGTGCGATCAGTGTCAGCAGTCTTTCAACCGCAACCACGACTTGAAGCGCCACAAGAAGATTCACCTCGCCGTGAAGCCGTACCCGTGCGGCCATTGCGAGAAGAGCTTCACGCGGAAAGATGCATTGAAGGTTCGTTCTGGATCCCATTCCGAGGGGAGCCTATGGGAGGCGGTTCTCCTTCTCCCTCTGGCATAATCTTGACTGTGAAAATAAAACAAGAGGCTGATTGAACGAGCAGAGACATATCCTGGTGAAGAGCTGTGGCAAGAGGCCTTCCATTGGCGGTGCGAACGCGAATGAGGGTAGCTCACCCCCTGTCGACAAGAACGACGTCATGAGCGATTCGACCGAGGATAATAGCCCCGAGATGACGAAAAAGGAGCTGGTGTAGGGCTGGAGCATGATCTGGCGGGCTGGACTCTTGGCATAGGGGGCTCGGTGATAGCGGCATCGGGGGGGCGTACAGTACGGACTGTAAAATCCGCTGGCCAAGTTTGACTCGGAGGTGCTTCGATACCCGGCGTTTGTGATTTTTGGGTGGGACCGGGCTGCTGGGCGGGATTGGGTCTATTTCCGGCCGACTACGGCGGGACGGTTTTGAGGGCTGGCGTCGGGAGTTGGGAATTGGGATCTGGCACTAAAACAGACGGTTGGCCAAGTGGAGATATTTGTGGAGTTCGGTCCGGTGGATTTTTTTTTCTTCTTCTTCTTCTTTTCCTCGCTATCTGGCGGCGAATTTTTCTTGGCGGGCCCCGAATCACGCGCGGGTTGGTTGATATGCGATTTGTGGCATGCATGAATCTGGAATTAGAAGGAGAGATATATCCCTCTACCTATTATTTTACCACTTTATCTACCTACTCTTTTTCTTAATATAGGCCGTTGGGTGGGCACCCTTGCTTCTTCCTCTTGACCATCTTGACCGCATCTGCCTTGCCCCTTCCTTGCCCTTTTCTTTCGCGCGAATGGGCCTTTTGAGTGAGATGTTTTACTTGTCCGACCATTCTGGTTCGTCTGTCCGCAGAGATGGGGATCTTTTTCTTTTTTTTTTTTTTTTTTCTTAGTAAGGGGTTGTG